TGTTTTTCCATTTTTTCCTCTGTGAACTATTTGATTTAGCTTCTAACTTTTTTCTATTTTAGATATGTTTTTGTATGTGTTTTTTGCACTAATTCTGCGCTTCAGTTTCGTTACTTGCATTCTCTCATTTGGTTCGAGTGATTTGATTTAACTTCGCTGGGTGATTTGATTTCACTACTATTTTTTCTATTTTCGATTTTTTTCTATTTTTCATTTTTAATTTTTTTTTCAGATATTTTTTTTTTCGATTTGTGGTTTTTGATGTGCCATTGATTTATGTATGTCATTTGAAAAGAAAAAATGTTTTATTTTTTCATTTTCTTTTCGCCATTCTATGTTGTTAATTTTTAAGCGTTATTTTATTTAGTTTTCAATTCTCAAATCCGTTTCTTCATTTGATAGCGTTGTAATACTTGTCAGCTGCGTACCAAAAAATTGAATTCGCTAGCGTTTTTCTTTTAGGTTGTAATCGCTTTGTGCTTTTAAGCTCATTGATTTAAGTTTTTAATGAAATTCGATGCGAGTAATAATTTAAAAAATCCCGAAAGCACACATTTTTTACTTCAAATTATGTGCTACTACACTCCTTTTCCTCACAGTTCTTATTTATGTGCACACATACTGTATTGCGTGAATTGTGTGCGTTTGTGACGCTTCCCTTTCGCCGACTTTCTTTTTGTGCTCTCACTTGCCATTTGTTCTCAAACTTCCCATTTAATTTTCTCTCTTTTCATTTGTTGTTATAATTCTTTGATCGTATCGTATTCATCGACTACAACATCCCATCGCTAAACAAGAATATTTATCAGTTGTTTATTTACACTGGAACACAAATGTACTTGTATTTTTGTTTGAATATAGTGTACGATAATTTTTCGCCAACAAATTTTCAGTTTTTTTGCAGCTGTTTCTTCTCTGCTATACGTAATGAACGGATAATGAATCGAACAAATAATGACAACGGTATTTTCCCCACGATTTCACGCATTTGTTGAGTCTAGTTTTGTATATTGTCTCTGTATATTGTATAACTGTATTGTGTATATTTTCGGTAAGTAAATTTTATAAGTTATTATAATTTTTCATATTTTGAAAAATTAGCATTCCATATTTCTTAATTGGCTTATAATAATGTATTTATACTTGATAGTTCATACAAATTTATTATAATTTTTTTTTTATTCTATGAATTGCGTTACGTACCTACATCTTTTCAACACTCCCATTATTGGTTATCTTTGGATGTGCTCCGTATCGAGTCATCAAAGAAATAAAAATAAAATGAAAACAACAACACTGTTTGTTTACCACTTGTCAGTTACATGTTTAACTTTTTTCGTTTTCTCCCAATTTTCTCCAAATCAGTCGACAGTTACATAAATGAGTCAAAAAACGCTCGGTTTGTATTTTTCTTCTTCTATTCAATTACTTAGTCGTACATTTTGCAAAACATTGTATTGTAATATTTTTAATTTAATTCTGATTTGTTTATTTACAGGTGTTTGTGTGCTAATTTTCACAGTTAAAGAAATAAACAATATATAAAAACCATAAAAAAGTAATCCCAGATTATTTGAACTTCTTGAACGCCAACCGCTCACGTACAAAGTATTTAATTATTATAATTGTATTATTATTATTATTATTATTATTATTATATTTTAATAATCTATATTCTTTTTGTTAAAAATTTAGTGTATAATTTTTTGTAAGCGTATGTAAGACTTGTTTATAATTTTTGGCAAAAATATGAACAAAAAAACAATACAAAGCATAAGACAATCAACAAAAATAATTCAAGTTACCGTACCAAGCAACCATTCATTAATCACGCTTGTCATCCACTCAAGCAGCGAAGGCGATCATGATGATAATTATTAACGTAGACCCGATTGAGTAAAATAAAAAAAAAAAACAATATACAGGCAGGTTCTGTAGGTAATGTGAATTCAAATTCAATTGCAAAGCCAACTGCAATTATTTTCAAATATTTTAATTTCAAAATGCGATATTTCTAATTTATCCATTCTTGTTACTGGCTGTACATAATTAATAACAAAAATTAAGTCAAAATAATATATGTTTTTGGACATTTTATCATACAATTAATTAATAAGGTTAAGCAGGATAATATGTTCAGTCTAACAGATAACTAAATTAAAAAAAAAATTGGCGAAGATACATACATCTGTTATATGTGCCTTTCGATCGTGTTTTCTGTTTGTATACAAACTACATATCGACGGCCGAATGGAATGATTCGAAAACGCCCTACCTCAGAAAACTTTTTAAGGACGCCTACTTCAGAATTTGATTAAAAAATGGCCCCATCTCAGAATTTGGTTCAAAAGCGAACTATCTCAACTGAAAATATGTTGAGATATGGGGCGTTTCTGAATGGGCTGCTGAGATAGGGAATTTTTGAACTGAATTCTGAAATAAGGCGTTGTTCAATAAGATGCCAAATTCTTTCGAAATTCAAAAATTGTAGGATTTTACTTCCAAAAGCGAGAAAGAAAAAACTATGCTAGCTATGGGCATTTGGTTTTCATTTGTGAAAACTTTGGAATTCGGAGTAGCTTCTATGAATTTTGGTTCCACAAAAATAAAATTAACATACTTATGTCTGGTCTACTTTAATACATTTGCATATTTGTCATTTTCTACCAAGTCATTTATGTTTTTTTTTTCTTCAGATCCCATAACTAAATCGCATTGTAACATTTTCCCATAATTAACAATTTTACCAAACTTGTAATTTTAAGTTTAATATGCTATGTCATTATATTTATTACGTAATTGTAAAGTTATATACTTATAATTTATTTATTTATTTGTGCATTGTATTAATGGCTTAAAAGCTTCAACGGTATACATGTACGGTCTGCTTGAAAGAACAAAGAGAACCCAACAAATCATTAGTCGACACCTTTCGTGTGATTTGAAGGGGAAACTGCGAATAGCTCCCGCTTCTCGAGAAAAAAGTATTAATGCTTTTACCAAAAAACTTAAGTATTAAACCATTCTTAGCTTTCTCCAACTACACCCACCACTCGCTCGGTTCTTTTTTGACTTGTCATCAAAAAGTAAGCCACCACTCCAGCTCTTGCGAGCTTTGACTTGCATTCCACAAGAAATTATAAAATTGCAACTTAATTTCGATGTGTCGAATTCGCATTGTTTTTCTGAATTCCTTACTAAATTTATTAAATTTGTATGCATTATGAGTTTTAGAAAACGAAATATTTTTTGTTGAAAGCACTTACTAGACTTAAATAACTTTTTTTTTTTTGCAAGCAATTAAAAGCTTTTAAGTTATGCCATTCTAACTAACTTTTAAGCACAAGAAATGTGTATTATTTGAATTAGATTAGAACTTATTTTCTTCAATGTACTTTTATTATTGTATTTACATATAGTGGTAATTATTTGATGCGCAAAATGTAAGTTTAAAAGTGGGAAATAATTTTTTCTGTATCTTTTCCTTTTTAAAATTATGTTAATTTTAGAGATGAGTTATTTTTCTTAAAAAGGAAATACGTACATACATATGTAAGCTTGGTTATCGATTGAGTTTGCTATTTTCAATTTATTTGATTGCCAATTAGACGTGGAAGTATTTTTTTTTTTATGATTTTTTAACAAGTTCTAGTTTATTTAAAAAAATTAACTTTTTGGTTTCACCTAATTTACTTAAAGGTTCTTTTAAACAATATATTTTTGCTTAGCAGTTGTAAAAAAAAAACGAAAACATATTCCAATAAAAAAATTACTTGAGAAGTACAAATAGATTTAAGTAAATTAACATATTTATGTACAATGCTGATAAGACTGTGAATGTTAGGTGCAACCTTTGTATGACGTACGTATTTTTGCAAAAAAAAAAAACAACATTGTGATATATTTAGAGTAAATATATTTAGAATATTTATATATAGTAATGCCGTTAAAAATAATAATAAACTTCACATGTTTTATAAACTTTTTTTTCGAAAATTTGTATGCATATTGAGAAGACAAAAGAACGCAGGAGCAAATGGTGAACGCGTAAGGGGAGCAGAAAAAGGAAATTTTTCTGTTGCGAACAGGAAAAAACTGTCTTAACTACCATTCCGTTCCGTATTGTTCCGTGTATTCCTGTTGCTTTTCGCAAAACGAGAACGAGATTTTAACAGAATTCGCGACAGCAAAGAAATAAATTGACCATCAAAAGCGCTATGAAGATTGCTTCCTGAACTAAACCAATTTTACTCAGCAGGAGTAAATTCGTTTGAAGCAAATGTGGAATATACGCGAAATTGAACAGCTGATATCGCAAAGTGTAAAATGATGCTGACCCACGTCGGGCTTATTCAAGCCCTGCTGATTTTCAACAAATCTTTAAACATCGTTTGCATTTTATTTTCTAAAACTCAAAACCATCGAAATAAACTATTTTCTATGCAAAAAAAAAAAAATCAAATCAACTTTGTTTCCTTAATTTTTTCTGGGTCTTATCTGCCAGCTGATAGCGCAAAAATTATGTGCAGAACAAAACAAGGTTTATTGAGAGAGAATATGTAGTACATATGTTTGTATATTTACGTTGAGTGCTGTCGGTCAGGGGGTTGCCTACTTACATGCAGATGGATGTACATACGTACATTAGGGTGGTCTAAAAATGCATGTGAAAAAATAAAGTCGGAATTTTTAGGCTCTTATGATTTTCAAGAATTCCATACCATTTCAACGAAAAGTTGTTTTTTTTGCCCATATAAAATACATGGAAAACTTTGAGCACTTTCAGCGACCTCTAAATATTTTTTTGATTTCAAAATACAAAATAGGGGTATATTATTTCGATATATAACAATATATATATCACCTCACATAGGAGGTGAGAGTTTCAAATTCTTCCTTTACTTATTTTGGACCACCCTAATGTAGATACATATATGTATTCTATGATTTTTTTTTTTCTTATATTACAAGTGGTTATAGCTTTACTTATTGCGACTTACCAAACAGGCGCCGTTTTTTCGAGCTGCGCATGCTGCCAGAAGACGCGTAATTCTTTGAGTAGAAACGACACCGGCATGCCATGTATATTACCCGACTCGGAGGTATTATGCAGATTGATGTCCGCATGTGCGTCCACCCATACCAGCGATAGATTGGGCGTGTGCTGCAAGTGGCCGGCAACGGAGCCTAAGGTAGGGAATCATGAAATAAACTTTAAGAAATTAATAAATAAAATTTTAGATTACTTAAAAAAGAATGGACATAATTTTATGATGGGATATTTTCAGCTTTTGCAGTCTTAATTCATAAATGTACCTGCAACAAGACATAAATTAGGATCATTACAGCCGACATCTTCTGAATTCTATTCAAAAGTATAGTGGGGAGCAAGAATGAGTACATCGTAATTTTTGTTAAATATTTGCAAAGTTTTTAAAGTTAATTTTTTGTTATTTTTTTTATTTATTTATTTTATTTTATTTTATATTTTATATTTTATTTTATTTTCGTGCTTAAACCAAAACCATACAAATTTCCATTAAAATGATTAACTTTAAGAATCAGCAAAAAATATTTAACAAATATCACCATATACTAATTTTTGCACCCCCTGTATATTTCTATCAGGCAGCTTCTGCAATTCACTTCCTTTGTTGAAATTCACTCGGAAGTGAGCTGCAGAAGCGGTCTATATAATGGGTCGATTACGGATGTCAACCGAACTTCAGTTACTGTGTGTTACTGATGGCAACTGGCAACTGAAATCTGGCAACTGAGTTGCTATACTGGCAACTGCACCTTTGTGGTTGCCGCGCAAATTTTGATTGTGAAAATTTATTTATTTTTTTAACTGTTTCCACGGTTTATTTACACTCAAACCGTGGTTGCTGGCACCTCAAAACTTGGTTATTTTCAACTTTGCAGCACTTAACTATAGTTGCTATTCATAATACACATTTTCATTGCAGTGGCGTTGGCCTTCGGCAACTCAACTGAAGTTGGTTTGCTATTCATAATCGACCCATAAATTACAAAACAGCACACATATGATGGTTTGCTATCGAATTTGTGAGACCGGTAAATTCATATGAAATGCTCGATAAGATTGGCTGATTCATTCAGTTCATAGTTTTCTAAGGACAAGGTGCGTAATTAAAAAGTGCAGTCTGATCTGCATCGCCGTTTTTATAGTGAATTTTCACAACGTGTTGCTGAATTAAAAATAAAAAGTCGGTAGATTACTCACTAAAGACTTGATCAAATTTAAAACCAACTACTACATCTATAAATTAATAATAATAAGTTGTACCTATAACTACTCTGTAAGGAAACGAAAATGTTAGATAGAGCCTTTCTATATTAGGGTAATAAACAAATTCTCGTTTATGAAGGAAAAATGATACTCACTAAAATAAGAATAAAAAACCAACGCTGAAAGCAATTAAAAAATTAAAAAAGTATATAAAAAACTAAAGAAAAATAAAATAATATAAAAATATTAATACAAAAAAAGTTAAAAAATAAAATTAAAAAAAGGAAAAAATTAAAAGTAAAAAATATAAATTTTATAATTGTTATATCTATGGTCATAAACAATAACCGCCTAAGTCGACTTAAGAAAGAATTAAGTTATATAATATATATTATGCTATCGTATTCTGTGTGAAATCCCTATTTAAAACATATTTTGGTTTCCCCCTAAGGATAACATTACGATCCAAATGTTTAAAATGTTTTTTCTCGAATTCAGATTTTTCGACTGATTTTTTTTTTTGCTTAATTTTAGTTATTTTTTCCATAAAAACATAGTTTATTCTTAAAAAAAAACCGTACGCTTCCAAGTTTCAAAGGGTGTGCAATATTAAAAAAAAAATTTCAACATTTGTAAAAAATTTCAAGTTTTTTATTATATTACTGAGTGGAAGACCTATCTCGGCAGCCAGTTCGAAAAACCCCTATATCAGAAAACTTTTCAAGAACGCCATATTTAATAATTTTATTGAAAAACACCCTATCTCATCGGAAAACATATTGAAAATATGCTGAGATAGTGTGTTTTTGAACCGAATTCTAAGATAGGGCGTTCTTCAACCAAATTCTGAGATAAGGTGTTTTCGAACTGGCTGCTGAGATCGGTCGATCTTCCACTCAGGTGTCTATATAGTCCCCATTTGCCAGAAACATTAATGTGTAAAAATTCAAATTTTGGGAAATCAAGTTCTAGAGGTTTTTTATGAGACCTACGATATCTTAGAAAAATTTTGAGTATTCAGTTTGTAGTCAATTAAATTTTAGCGCAAGCTTGAAGTACCTATGGCTTACCGTAAATTTTTATTTTTTTTTTTCGTTGAAAGTGTTGCTCATTTTCTTCCCTTTCAAAAATCGTCGAACACACTTTGTAAGTTCTAGCTATTTCAAACTTGCTCTTAAATTTAATGGGCAACAAAACTTGGCTCGAATTAACACCCGTTCACGGATCGAAAACCATACGAAAGAAAATTACGTGACACGTCCGGCAGTATAAGCTGAATGGGACAAAGAGTACGTTCACGTATGTCATAATGCGAAAAATGTTTTTACGTAACGAGTATGACATATTGAACTAGACAACGACGTTCACAATATCATGGAAAAGCGATAATCGAATAACAGTCGTTTATCTACTATTGGTCGACATTCGCAATAGGGGTGTATATTTTTATAAAAATTAACTAAAATTAAATATGTATCAAGAAAAAATAAAACATAAATTTTTAAAACTTGTGAGCTTTATAATTTTAGTTAATATACCATGCACCGTTATCAGTTATTCTCTTGCATCAACCAATTTCGGTTAGGTTCAAAACTAAAACTAAATTTTAGGCCTCTCTTTAGAGCGCAATAAATTCACTACTTTTCTTTTTTTAATGAACTTTGCAACACCGTCCGCTCACTGGCGTTTCTTGCTTACCAAATCCAATTGCATGATCACCGCCGATAGTCAAAAACTGATCGTTCTCCTGCAACAGTTCTTGCACCTTGCGGATCAGCGCCTTATTGCAGCCCATAAATTCACCATAGTTCTTAATGTTGCGGTATTCGGGCGCTTCTGTCGGTATAGGATCGACTTCGAATTGCAGATCGCCATAGTCATGCACTTGCAAATTGCCTGGACGGTTGAAAACGCGAATATGTATGTACTTAGTTTTTGCATTCAAATGAAATACCGCTGAAATTTCGGTCACTTACCATAGGACACCTGTTCGAGCAGCGGTACGAGTCCATTTTCGCGCAGCAATGCAGGCGCACGCTCTACACCGCCCTTGCCCTGACCCTTCGAGAAAGGCACACCGATAATGCCCAGGCGCGCTTTCGAGTCGCTATCCGCGTGGCTACTGAAATTACGTGCGTGCCGCAATTGGCACGCGACACGTGTGGCACAGCGCTTTAACATTTTTGTTTGTTTTCAAATGTTTTTACTTTTTCCTAAAAATAATTTGTTATTTTAGAACTTTGCACAGTACACAGCACGTGAATGATCCGCAGATTTTTACTAGCCGCTACGCGTGTTTCACTTGCGCTTTCACTCGACACTAACTACTCGCCTGAAGCTATGTGTGGCCGTAGAAAAGTCGAAAACTGCTACAGGCTTGTTTTTTTTTCAATTTTTGGAAAGAAAACAACTGATAAGCATAAATCGGAATTGTTTTCTTGCAGATATAGAGATTAGTTGCTGATGGTGGTAAGATTTTAAGCGTCCACGCCTATTTTCAGCCGTTCCTCTGGTGGTTCGTGGGGGTTTTTTTTTTGTTTTTATTTATAATTTTTTAGTCACGCAAAAAAATATGATGAAAGTTGGAAAAAAAATTTGCAAAGTGACTGAAGCTATTCAAAGAGGTGCTGATTAGCCTGCCAAAGGCTACGCGAATGAAAAACGGACGCCAGCAAAACTGAAAGATGCTGCGGGAAGGCCGCTAACGCAAGCGAATTGTGTGGAGAGATGAGGCTGGCGCTCGCGAAAGTGATAAGCCGGTAGTGATAACCTTTCTAAACTGGTGCGTCGATGTACATACATACATATGTCGTGACTTTGAGTATGTATTAGGAGATGGAATAAGTGTGAGGGCAAGTTTTTATTATTGATTTAAACTTGATTTCAATACAAGGAATCGCATTTTTTGTGTTTATAGCAATCATCATAGTTATCGATAGTTTTCCCGATGAATGTGGGAATAGAAATATGGATATATTCATCAATAAACAGCTCGTTAAATTCTTATGTATATATATCGGTTAAAATAGAGCTAACGGTTTCGATAAATGTGCGTAAGTATGTATAGATAAATATATAATATTATCGATTATTTTATCGCCAATAATGACGACAGCGATATTGGTAAGTATACTGATAAAATAGCCGATAAATTTATCGATAAATATAATTTTCGAAAAATACTTTTTTTGTGATACGAGTACAATATCGAGATCGAAATTTTATAGTTTTTCTCACCTAAGCCACCCATACAGCTCCATAGCCGAAAATCTCGCGTCCAAAAGTCCTAGTCCGTTACAGTGAACAAAAAACACGTATTATGGCCTCAATTTTCATATTTTACATTCATTTAATTTTTTCCCTATGAAATGTTTAATATCTAGAATCTAGATATAGCTGAATGAAAATAATAAAACGCCCAAAGGGCCCAAAAGAAAAAAAAAAACAAGACTGGAAATCGCAATTTCTAATTATTTTTCGTTACATTTTGATTATTTATGAATATGATATTTTTTTTATTAATCCTCGAAGAAATATCGCAAGTATGTAATAGTGAAAGACTGAATAATGCGACAATTTTTACTTCCGCTATCTGAGATGTATTTGTATACTGGGCCGGCCTCTAGGCGTTTAGCATCGATAGCAGTCTAGGATGCACCGCTATGTGATGCTCTTCTATGTGATACCGATATTGCTGTAATCGGTTAACATTTGACCGCTGTGACGATTTTTTTGCGCCAGTTTAGATTACAGATTTACAGGCCTCTCAAACTGTCGGCACGCCGCTTCCGCTATGATTGTCGAGGTGTTTGTTGTAATGCGTTTTTTTTATATGTATGAGATTCCAAATGAGATGGCGCGTCGATCGAAGTACTTCCTAAAAAAATTGGAATAACCGCTAAAAAGATATCCAAGAACTTTCGAGAAGGTGAATATTAGTTTTTTTGTCTAAAATTTTTCCTAATTAGGTTTTGGGAAAAAAAGTTGATAACTTCAAATGGCTGACGAATTTCAACATCGTTTTTGAAATTTTCAGCCCCTAAAAATAGTGAATTTTTCTGAAGAAGGTTTAGGATTTGGAAAATTTCTAAAACGCTTTTTAAAGAGCTAAACCTTTATAGGTTTCTGCCAAATATACAAATATTAGGTAAGCTAATTTTTTCAGGCCGATATACTCGAGTAAAATTGTTAACTTTTTCGCGCATCTAGGCCTCTCAAACTGTCGGCACGCAATATCGATTGTGATACTCGAAATGTTTGTTGTAATGAGTTAATTTTAGAAATCCTTCATCCATTTGATATTTCTTCTACTAAAACTTTAATTTTCCTCAAAAGTAATGGCACCAATCGAAAGAGGAAATTTTTAGCTGAAATTGAAATTTTTTTTAAATTTGCGTATGCGTATGCGCATGCGTGTATAGACGGGGTGGCTGCATTAAATTTTTAACGCCACTGGAGTGGGTAATGAAAATACAGAGAGCAAGATACAAGGGCAGAAACAAAGGCAAGGGCAACGACAAAACCACAGACACAGTGGCGTTAAAAGTTCAATGCAGCCGCACCATCTATTCACGCATGCGCATACGCATACGCAAAAATTAAGTTTTAATTTCTGAGCAAATAATAATACTTAAAACGTAACGATTATTTTCCGAGCAAAAAATAAAACCTAAAGCGTAACCATTATTTTCCGAGCCAAAAATTAAAATCAAAAAATAATCGTTGTTTCGAGCAAAAAAATAAAACTCTGTTAATAACGATTAAAAAGTGACTTTTATAATAAAAATTATGACCGTTACCATCCCTGCTTTATTTTCCAAAATCGCTATTATTTGCCACGCCCCTCTTTTGTGCTTGCTGATATGGAGCCTTAGAATGAAAACAATATTTTTTTGTGGTTTTCGCTAATAAATATGTATGTATATGCTTTATTACTTTTTTCATTCGTTAAAAAATATAATTCCTTACACGCTAAAAATTACGCTGCACAATTTGTGTGTATGTATGTATGTATGTATATCTGTTTATGTACTTACTAAATTGCATATGAATTTTACATTTTACTAGCATTCTTGCAATGCCTTTTTGTGTGCACACTTAGGTTTTTTTATGATTTCGTTCAATAAGCAAATATATGTAAATAAAAAAAAATTTTGTATGATTTATAATTTTTTGAAAATCGGTCATCGGTTTTTCATAAAAATTAACTTTATTTCATCATATTTATATTTCTATAAATTATTATTCTTAGCTTATTGTACACTTTTGGTATACAAAACGTTTTTTTTTTATTAAATATATAAAAATGTATAAAAATGTACTCTAAACAAATTAAACAGCATAAAAAAGTTACATACATACGTACTTCAAATACAACCTCTACAGAGAATTTGCTTTAAAAAATAGTGCCATACTGCTTGAATTTTTATGGAATGTTGGATTCATTGGGGGAATCTTTTCTTAATTTATTCTTTATAAAAATATCTAAACCAAACTTCCAAGTGTAAATTTTATTTATTTTCTATTCCTTTTAATTTTTTAAGCAATATTTAAACTATTATGTTTTCGGAAAAAAATTAATAACTTTTGGTTACAAGAACAAGTAATGAAATAAAATTCAAAAACTGAATAAAAAACAAAAATTTATTAAATAAAAAATAAAACAATAAAAAAATAAAAACAACAAATTAAACAAAACCCAAAATTAAAGAAAAAAAATTAAAAATCACAAAATTTTATATAAAAAGGAACTAAACTTCAAAAGTTTACAAAAATTTTAAAATTAAAAATTAAAATGTTTACATACATAAATCATACCTACCATAAGAATTTTTACTAAAAAAATTAACTAAATATTACCAATAAAAAATTTTTATCTTATGTTTTTATAGATATTGCACGCGGGAAAAAAAATGTTCAAGGAAGTCTTAAATTCAATTAATTAAAAGAATTGAATCATTTGCGGCAATTGATTACCATCAAAAATATTTTTTAGTTAGATAATGAACAAAATATTAAGCAAAAGTAGATTGGAGAATTATAAATAGCACTCTTGGGTTTTTTAGTATTTGTCGTTTTTAATATTGGGAAATTTTTTGTTTTCAAAAGCTTATTAAAAAGGAGTGATACATTTTTTTAATGAAATTTAAAAAAAATGTAATTTTTATTTTTCTTTAATTTGTTAAAAAAGGCCTTATTGATAAAAGAAGGAATGTATAATTTTAAAACTGCTCATTTATTATTGTATTAGCTGCAAACTTTCTTTTTTTTAACACGCAAAATAGTTTAGCATTTGAAATAACTATTTAAGTAGCTGCCTACAGAATTGAACCACTCTTTTATTTAAAACATTAGCGATTTTTATTTCATCAGTCTTTGTTTAGCAAATAATTTCATTAAATAAATTCAAAAAATATATATATACATATGTGAAATTTTTCATAAATTCAGAAAATGTATAAGCATTTCAATTTAAGTCTATTTTACTTTTTATGCATATTGGTCTTTAGTAACAGCAACAAAGAGTAAGAGTACTACTGGGCAAAACTCTTTACGAATTAACAAAAAAAAAAATTTAAATTTCATCGCCATTATTTTTTAACTTTTCAATGTTAATTTTTTTCTTATGAACTTGGCTATACGTTTTTTTTACATTAGATTTTACGTTACGCATTTTTATCAACATTTTTATGTTAACTCTGTTCTTTAGATGAGATTCGATTGGAGTGGTTGGCAGTAGTTCTTTTTAATAGAATAGTTAATATCATTTTAAGCATTTTTTTAATCATTCATGTCTGGTGTGTATAAAAATACTATACAAATTTTTATTTGCCAAATTAGTACTTACAGTTGTCCACAAAATAATAGGAGTGCGATATTTTGACCAGTTTTGGCTATTTGTCTTTTGTTTATTTAATGTTTATTATTTTTTTATAAAAGCCTAGCTGGCTATACAACAAACACCATATAAATTCAGATTTTAAACTTTGTATAAAAATTATAAAAATTTTGCAATTTTTCACCCAAATTTCAAACTTTTTAATCAGAATCTTTAGAAAAAATTCTGGTATGCAGTTTTGTAGCACATTCAATTCTAGTCTGAAGAAGTGCAAGTTTCAAGCGGCTAAAAAATTCCGTTGATTTTTGAGAATTTTTTTGGTTAAAGGTGTTTCACGTTTTTTCCATACAAAGTATGTCGACAATTTTCTTTTATATGGAGGACACTGCCAGCAAAAAAATTGCCAAAAATCAACGGAATTTTTTAGCCGCTTGAAACTTGCACTTCTTCAGACTAGAATTGAATGTGCTACAAAACTGCATACCAGAATTTTTTCTAAAGATTCTGATTAAAAAGTTTGAAATTTGGGTGAAAAATTGCAAAATTTTTATAATTTTTATACAAAGTTTAAAATCTGAATTTATATGGTGTTTGTTGTATAGCCAGCTAGGCTTTTATAAAAAAATAATAAACATTAAATAAACAAAAGGCAAATAGCCAAAACTGGACAAAATATCGCACTCCTATTATTTTGTGGACAACTGTAACTACTCACACATTTTATAAAATGGTATGTACATATGTATGCATGCAAGCATGTAGAGCGTAATGTTGTTTCTAAAAATGCTTTTTACAAGTTTTTTAAAGTCTATATTATTTAGTACGTGTGTAGTTTCCATAAATAAATATATATATATATATGTATATATTTTCTTCTTACTACATTGTCAGAATTGTTATTTGTAGCTTGTTATTGTTGTTGTTATATATTTTCATATGTCCTCTCTAGATCACAGTTGATTTCGTTTATCCAACATAACAATATCTTCGCCACTATCTTCATTGAAGTCGTTATCAAAATCATCATCGTCATCATCGTCGCTGCGACCGTGTTCAATGTGCTCGTCAAAGTACGGCTGTATGGACATGCCGTCTGTGAAAAGAAAAATGTTTAGTTAGGCAGGCCAAATTAGAAATTTGTTGTACCATATTAAAAAAGAACAAATGTGGCTTTAAGTGGTATTTATCGATACATTATATCATTATCGATGTACTAATAGGCATCGTTATGGTTAAATGTATTGGTTTATTTTTTATGTCCCCATAATTTCTTGTCAGAGTCCATATAATCATTCTTTAAAGTACAAAACCGCGTATCGTGGTTCTGCAAAATTTCGTAACTGACATTTGTGCCAAAAAAGATATTCGCTCACGGGAAGCTCCTGGCATCAAGCCCTTATCCATTCATACTAAAATATCGATACTTAGATATAAGAAGAAAAGATAAATAGGGATAAAAAAAGAGACCCGTTTTGAAATAAGACAAACCTTCTCCTATAAAATTGCGACAACCTCACATATGAGGTTTTGCATTTTCTTAATACGCGTTTTGTATTTTAAACGACGTAATGATTTATCAGAAGTGATGCATTCATCGATATGTTTATCTCTAAATTTATCAATATCGTTATTAGGGCTGGAAGTTCTATCCGTTCTATTCGTTTGTGTTTAAATGAAGCGTTTTATTATTTATTTTGCAACTCGATAGATTCTGTAAATTTGAGAATTTTACGAAACCGCTCAAATATTTAGAATATTTCGAACGTTATGGATGTCTAAATTTTTTATATCAGAAACAAACAAAAAATATCCGGCTTTTGCTGAGTCCCTATATACATATAAATCGATATCGCATCTTGAGGGTTCCTACTGCGAATAATCGAAATAAAGTGATGGAAACTCATATACCCAAGCGAATTGCTTTAACTACTTAGACTCACTTTACTCACAAGTACTTCACCCAAATTTTCTTCGTACTTAGTAATAATGGGTAATGTATCTACTTACTTTTAATGGGCGACCGGAAAAGTTCCGTTTCACCATCCTCGCCATCGTCCTCGAATAGTTCTTTACCCTTTTGCGGCAACAACGAGAAACTGTAGTACCGCTTATCGGCGCGATGTCGCCGTGCCAACAGGAATTGCACGCACAGGAAGAACAGAATCATAGCAACAATTATCACTATGCTGGCAAATAAGATGAACAACAAACGCGGCATACCCCAAACATGCTCGTCCACCTTCAGTCGGAATATGACGCCACGCACCGCGCCACTTTCCACATGCACTGCACGCTGTGTGCCCTCATGGCGCGGTGCCTCCACCTTCAGCGTGATTTCGCCCAGCGGCACGCCGCGTATGCTGTAAGCGCCCAGACTATCGGTGAAATTGCGCAGGTATTCGCGCGTGTGCGGCGCTATCACCGACACCTTGGCATGCTTCACTGGATGGTTGCCGATATCCAGAACGAAGCCGGAGATGGTCGCAGTTTGAGCGGTGAGCGAGGTGGCACTGCCCGTGTTGTCGATATATCCGCTGTCGCCGCCTCCCAACCGATGTATTTCACTTACGCCGGTCAGCAGCGCGTAAGCGTTCAACTGCACCACACCCAAATTGTTGATCTGGTGTGGTGTGACCGTAACGCGCTTCACCGTCGACTCATAGCCGGACGCGCTTATCTCCAACGCATACTCGCCAGCTGGTAAAATAATTTGAAAGCGCGCCGCATTGCGCGTCACATTATAGACATGCTTATGGTCGATGAGGCGTATGAATGCCTCGCGCAGCGGTTCGCTCTTGTCATTGTGTACAACGCCGACTATGCCTGTTTCGATCAGTCGTAGGAAATTCTTGATTTTATTGATATTTGTGCGCCAAACGGAGGCGATATTCGACTGAACGGGCATGCGACAGCAGGAGAGCCCTAAACTGAAGAGTGGAATGTTGTACATTTTGTAAAGGAGGTTGGTAAGCCGCTCGGTGGCTGCATGATGAAGCGAACGCGTGCTGGTGGTGGGACATTGAAGCGGCGGTGCGTTGAATTCGCTGTCTTTGATGATGTGCGCGAATTTCTCAATGACCGGCTCGCCTTTGGGGTAGCTATGAGCGGCAGAGTAAGCAGGAGGAAAGGACAGATATTTATATGTATGCGCAATATAAAAAAAAGATGGAAGATTGCTTACATTAATTCTGAACTGCCAGCAGTGAAGGTTAACATCAAATCGAATCGTTCGCTTTCCAAGAATTGCAACAACAAATCGCGCTTCTTCTCCGATTCAGGGCTGAGCATACGATCGGCGAGTTCATTGCCCAGTTCGGGATCACAAATCGAGTTGCTGTGGATCAAAGAGAGAGAGAGAGGGAAATTATAGTGTAGCTTTAAAAAGCTTCTGCCGTGGAATATGCTTCGATTTGGCATGCAAACAGAGCATTTTAAGCTTTCAATACACTTCATATAAGTAACATATAGACGCGCACCGGGTAACAACTCTTTTTGTCCATTACTGAATTTAAGATAAATCAATAGTAACGATATGAACTCACTTTCTGTTATACATTTTGAAGATGACCTCAAAGTTATCGGTTAACGGTAAAAGATATAAGACACTTCTTTGCAGCATATTCAAGGTGCCTGTGTCGCGTATTTTATATCCCTCAAGTACGTGACGTGCCACATTCATGGTGATTTCACGGCCCAGTGGCGAGGTTGTGTCGAAGAACGAACTCAATATAAGTATTTTGTATTTGCTCTCCTCCGGCTCTCCAATCTATAAATGATTTAAAAAGAAATTAATGTCGAAAGCATATACAAAGTTAACTTTTCTTTAATATTGGCAACACTTACGTCTGACGTTAGCTTAATGGAGTTGTAGTAAATTCCAAATTCACTCTCCGCATAGCCGAAGGTAGCAATCTGTCCGTGGCGAGTCTCAAATTCCGCCAAGCGTTGTCGGATCTCCGGGTTGCTGTGATAGCGTGTCTTCACCACATTCTCGATGATACGGAAATCATTAGCTGACGACCAATGCTGTGGATCGTCACGCATCAATATCACATCCAGTCGCATTTCGTGTGTGTCTTCCGGGATTTCGATTTCCTCGCGGTAGGGCGCAAATCTGTGCAGTAAAAACGAGTTATTTTTAGAATTAGCAACACCATCGATGCATTTTCGCCTGCAGTACTCACCCATCAGCTATTATCGTGATGTTATGCCTGCCTGGTAGCGCCAGCTTCCAGTAATCACCGTATACACCACTGAAACTGGCATGCTTGGCTCCGTCCAGCATTACCACCGCGCCCGCAATAGCTGTGCCGATGGAACTACGCACCGTGCCATGCACTCCATAATGTACCTGCTCGATGAATTTCAGCAGTGGCTCACGGTTGTCGTGCCAATATTTAGGAAGCTCATCGGTCATTGGAAACTTGTCGCAGCCCAGCTCGAGTGTAAGTTCCAGCACGCCAGCGCGTACATAGTTCCAATCCTGCATGCCGCCGGTTACGCTGTACCATTGGGCGCCATTAACAATGCCTTGCGGGAAGATCTCGTGTTTGAAGGAGGGACAGGGATTGCCGAGATGCATAGAGGGGTGGGCCTGAAAACAAATATGGTTAGATTAAACTAGAACCCATGAAATATTTTGGCTAAACCTGGAGCTTAAAATAAGCTTCTAAATTACACAAACTCGCCGTTAAGGTGAAAGTTATGCCTCAGCCTCATTCGCTCACTCACCTCCGAGTACACCAGCGCCAAATGTTTGAACAAATCATTCTCCTCCGTCGGATTTATTTTCCTCCCGACATTCGTTGCTATGCGCAGACGCGCTATCGGATCGGAGAAATCATTCTCATTGTCATCGTACGGATAGTTGGCCACCAATGATCCGCCATGCAAATTCGCCGACAATACAAACGGTATCGAAAGTGTCCAATTCATCACAGCAGCCACTTCCGGTTCTGTTACCGCATTGTACTTATCCGTACCATACTGATCGGGGAAATTGCGATTCAAATCGATATGATTGGCATTCTCACGTCCATTGCCACTCGTTTTATCACCCTCGTGCGAGATCTCATACCCGTCGGGATTCATGCTATAGAGAAAATGCATGCGCGTCGTATTTACCAGCTTTGTAATGCGTTCATCGACCCCGTAACGTTCGCACATGTACTTCGTGAGTAGCAGCAGCATTTCCTTGCCGACAACTTCATTGCCATGCATATTGGCGACATATTTGAATTCTGGTACGCCGGGTATATGCTGGCCGGGTGTGGCGAATATCTCCATAACCCAGAGATCGCGATGCTGCACGCTCTGACCGATTGAATAGAGACGTGTGATGCTTGGATATGATTCGGCGATGTTGCGAATGAATCTAGAATGCGTTTGGGGAGTCGTAAAGGGAAAAAGACGTTGGACGTAGTTGGTTAGTTAATGGCTTCGCAGGAAATTCGTAAAGAAGCGTGCTAGGAACTCAAGCAGTCATCCATGTCAGAATGTACATTTGTGCAAGCACACATACTTACATACATACACACGTGTGGAAGAATACTATTCCATGGTGGTATGCCTTGCGAAAGCTGTTATACTTAACTTAACAGAGAGAGCTTAAAGCATAGACAGACGGCAGCGTTGATCTGGATCAGCTCGTTAATTAGGAATTATCTGCAGTTGATCCGGATTAAGTTCTAGAGCTAATTCCCAAAATTAAATCGGATCAATGGAATTTTTGATGACAAGCCTGGTAAAAATGGCCAGGGCTCGAATCGTCACACACGATAGCGTTCCACTCGTCACGTAAAAACACATTTTTCGGATTATGACTTACGTGAACGTACTCTTTGCCCCATTCAGCTTATACTACCTGATGTATCACGTAATTTTCTTTCGTATCGTTTTCGATCCGTGAACGGATGTTACGATTCGAGCCCAGATCTTTTATATTGTACAAGTAAGCAAACATTTATTTCGAACCGAATCTTGGCTGCATATATTTTATACAAGGTTCGCGAACGAACAAAAAAAGGTCTAGATGGATCATCCCTTTTATGTAATTACATAGAAAATATAAATAAAAGTCATAATTGAATGCATTAACAACAAGTAAAAGGTCTAAGTTCGGGCGGAGCCGAACATTAAATGCCCGGCGCAAGTATTAAATACAGTTTTTCACCTTTCCGAAAACTACCGCTACATAGTAAGCAGGGGTGGTTTTACCCCTATTGATAATGAGATAAACTTATATGTGGGCGGTATCACGCCCATTTTTCAAAATTCCCTAATAACGTTACTTCTATTCAAGAAATTTCTGTAAGTATAAATTTTGAGCAAATTAGCGTCCTTAAATTTCGAAAGATCAAAGTTGAAAAGCATTTATGAAATTTACCATTATATGAAAAGTGGGCGTAGTTTTAGTCCGATTTCAATAATTTTTAACGGTATGCTTTTATGTGGGAAGCACAATTATCATAATGAGATTGGTACAAATTAGTCGAACGGTCACCGAGATACACATATACATATATATATCTGGCCATAAGTCGGCGGTACCACGCCCATATTCCTAAATTCTATCATAGAGGTATTTTTTCCCAAAGAATTATTGCAAAAATCAATTTTAAATACATTAGCTTCAGTATTACTGATTTATCGAAGATTTCGTATTTCTCTAAACTACCGTTATATGGAATGTGGACGTGGTTATTGTCCGATTTTCTAAATTTCAGCCGATTGGTATGTGGTACCAAGGCCAACAGCGGTGTCAAATTTGGGAGAAATTGGTGGAGTGGTTACCAAGATATACAAATGTAATCATAAGTGGGTGTGGCTGCGCCCATTTCCAAAAAATTTATAATATTTTTATTTTTCGTCTAAAAATCATTGTAAATATCAATTTTGAATGAAGAAGCTTCAGTTGTTACTTAAGTATCGCAGTTTGCGTACTTCTGAAAAATACCGCTTTGTGGGAGGTAGGCGTGGTTATTGCCCGATTTTGCCCATTTTCAATACCGTTCGTCCTACGCTGAAAAGAAGTACACATACTTCAACTTTTACTCGAGTTATCGTGTGCACAGAGGGGCGGACGAACGGACGAAAGGACAGACAGTCACCGCTTAATCGATTTATTTTTTCATTCTGATCATATATGTATACATTTGTCTATAGCTACCTCGATTCGTTTTGACTAATACAAAAACCGTTATGTGACAAAGTTATAATACCCTTGTGCACAAGTGCGCTCGGGTATAAAAATTAAATGAAAATTCTACTGGCAGTCGAACACGAAATCACGACCTCGCGCGCCGCTCGTTAACCCGCATTACTGCCCGTGTATCAAGGTACAATTTTGATCAGATCAACTGCGCCGTTAATCGGCATTAACGTTGCCGTCTGTCGAAAGCACTTACTGTATTTGTGTCACTCGAAGCTTCACCGAAGCATTGAAGAAAAGGTCAGCTTACTTAGGCGTGGAAGGTCTTATATTAAGGCTCCAGCATATAAGTTTGTAACAATGAGATTATCGGACACTTAGCTGAACTTTGAGCTGTATATGATTCTGACTTGAGGAACTTTTTGCATTACGACCAGAATTTTTATCGCTGGCCAATACTTACCTTGCAGTCAGAGTTGTTAACAGCCCACCTCACCTCGTAAGTTCTAAATCTTGTAAAAACTGTTCAGAGCAAGCTTTCAAACCGAAAGCTCAATTCTAACCTGAATGCTATCCCCTGCTATGGGAAACATTACGCAATTTTTCTTCAATCAACTGCTTGAGTTCATAATCTGAAATATTAATACAAATTTTTCTTGTTTTTGATACAAACTTTTCCATTGCCGTGAAATTGTGATGCTCGAACTTGGTGGGTGTTAGAAAATCATCATCGTTGGTCGAAGCTTTGGACCGTTCCACTTTCACCTTGCGGAAATTCCCTAAAAACGAGTAGAACGTACGTATGCATGTAAATAATGAAGTAGAAAGTAAAAGTAAAGAAATTTATAATAACTATGGCCCGATTTGAAAACGAAAGCGTGCGTGTTATGTGTTTACAAATTTAAATTTATGTGTAAAAAATATGCAAAATTTATGCGAATGGGATGCTTTGCAGAATGGAAAAAGAAAAAAATCAAAAATAAACAGGTAGACAACAACCAAATGAGAAGTGAATATGAAACCGTTCAAAAATGAAGAACTGGAAATGGCAACAATATAATCAGATATTATATTATAAAGCGATGAACAGATAAAATATAAAAACGAAATTTAGTATTATTGATGAAAACAAACTATGGAGAGATTGATAAAAGAAAATACATACCCTATTAATACGTAAAATTTTGAGTTGTTTTGTCTTTAAAATATAATCTTTTTTTTAACTTTTTCGTTAAAATTATTCGAAACGAAATACCAATTTTGAATGCGGTGAAATAAAACAAATTGTCAAAAATTAATAAAACTTTCAAGTGGAATTAAAAATTTACAAAATAAATGTCTACATTAAGAGAATTTACAAACTAAAACAATGAATCCGCCTTAAATTAAAAAATATTTCGATTTTTTTTTTTAATGAAATTTAAGTCATTTCGGAAGAAACACATCCATACATATGTGGAAATCCCCAAAAAAAACGTTAAAATATGCAAACAAAAAAATTTATAAATAAAAAATTTTGTGCGTTTTTTGTTTTTTTTTTGTTTTTTAAATAATAAAGTGGAAAAAATGTACCTACTGAAACTCTTGATTAAAAAATATTTAAAAAAAAATCAATTTTGGAATTTGAATAATCCTAAACTATGCAAAAAGTGCAGTGTACTACGAAAAGATTGCCAAAAAATAAGTTTGATTTCGGGGAAAAACTATTTTTTAACAAAATACATTTTACCAAACCAAACAAAAAGTGCAATTTATTTTCCACATCCAATACTACTTTGTAGGCAATGGGGGTTCGAAAGTTGCGGTATATCCTTCTATGAACTTTGAATAGATTGTACAAACATACCTAACATTGAAATAAGTCAGAGCAATTTGCTGCCTTTCACAGCTGTTATGCGTTTTTTTTTTCTCCCAAGGTCATATTCATACTTTATTGCAGTAATATTTGGTGCATAAGGGCTAAGTTGCTTTATTGATATAATTAAATTTTTTATTAATTTTTGTATGCATAACTCATAGTTACAATATTTCATACTAGTTATAGATATATTATGGTAACATATATATTTATGCTTAGCTATGCTACGTATAATTCAATTTGAGAGGAGAAAATGATTTTAAGGAAGATAAATATTTTTTCATACATGTATTTAATATTTTTTTTTTTGCATAAAATTTAGTTTTTTTAATACTTATATTTTAAAAAGTAAAAGCAAATAAGACCCGTAGAGTTCATTTGTTCGTATAATTCCGAGTAAAGTGGATAAAAAAGAGTTCCCAACAAATACCTACTTACATATATTTTGAGCATATCAGAAAACTTCAATTCAAAAATAATTTTTAAAAATTAACGACTATATATGTATGTAAATGCTGTTGTACATTCAAACCACGTCTGTAAGCCCATTTGCATTTCTCTTACATTTTTTACATTAGAATCTGATTACAGCATAAAATTATTTGATGATTTTCGGTTTGAAAGTTAGAAACACATTTTTATCTTTAAAATACTTAATACATGTTATTTGACTGCTGTTAAAGAAGTTTACTAAAACCGGCGTCTCGGAAAGTTTTATCGCTAAACGTATAGTTTGTATCATAACTATACGTCACCCATATTTTATCATGATTTGGCAATTTTTTTAATTGTTTCATAAATTTTGTTTTTATCTAATACGCATATCTATGATCCTCTGCAAAAACGACACAATTCAAAAAATAAAATCCCTTACCACTGTAAGAGACTCATGTATCTAATCCTTGTCTAATCCATGTCTAACAATTATGTGCTAAAGTAAGTAGTAAGGACTACAAAAGGATTAGACAAGAATTAAAGACATGAGCCACATAATAGTAGTAAGAGTTTTTATTTTTGAATTTTGAATTGTGTCATTATTGCAGAGGTCCATCGATATTTACTTAGTTCATTCCATAATAAAAACCATATACATAAGTCCAACTTTGTATTAATATTAAAAGTTGTATCAAAATTTCAAGCTTTTTAAGCTAAATCTAGAAATTTAAGTACCTAAAAAGCTTGAAATTTTAATGAATATTTATTGAATTTTTTTTTTTAATTTTAGCGCAAAGTTTGAAACTAAAGGAATGAACTATATTTTAACAAAAAAAAAAAATAATATTAAAATCAAATAACAAAAAAATAAGTAGTAAAAAATGTGGGTGTCGTATAGTTATGATACGCACTATTCATTTAATGTTAAATTTTTCAGACACGTTGGAATGGTGTCAGTCAAATTTTTTATATTCAAATTTTATACAAAAGGTTAAAGGGCAAATTTTCAAATAAGATTGTATCAAATTATTTTTCTGGCTCTTATTACTTCACTTAGTATAATTTCACCATGCAGCAGTGCAAGGTACGAGTATAGGCAATTTCAAATTTTAAAACAAATGTAGATTTTTAAAAGAAAAATTTCAATTAGAGAAAAAAAAATCGGAACCCAATGATTGCTTTCTAATACAAAATTAATAAAATAAAAATAAATTAACGAATGTTTAGCTGTGTATTTTTTAGTGTTAAAAATGTCGGTTGCTATGCTAATTTTGTAGCGCAAATCGTTACACCCTAAACTTTTTCCAGCTAGCTATTATAAATAAAATAGCATCTTCAATGGAAATTTCAACTAAATATTCTGAAAAAAAAACAAATACGAAATCATAAAATCATTGCAAAATGTATAAAAAGAAAGTCCAGCGTGGAGAGTTTCCTCTGCTTCTTAGATCTGTCAAAGAATAGTATTCTCAATTTGGCGATTTACTCCAGTAGGCTCCATCCAGCCTCTAGCTCTTGGTCTTCATCTTCCTTTTTGGACTTCACGTATGTACCTCTGTATCGCAACACATTTCAACGTAAATATAATCTTTATCACATTTTAATGATAAGCGTAGAATCTGGAAGCTTATTCGGCAAATAGATCGGAGCCGACCAGAGTGAGCTTTTACCTTGTGCGCGCCTATATACTTAGAATCTAAGTAGCTCTTTTTCCAAGGAATATATTTTGACCGCAACTTAACTAGATAAAGCTTTTCTGTTATATGTAAAACGTTTCGGTTATATGTAAAGCTTTTCTACTATACATACATATATATGTACATACGTGAAAGCTCAAAGTGTTCAGGTGTATATTACAGCAAAGCTTTCGCTTGATTTATCAATTTGTTAGAAGAGAAAATTAAAAATAATTTCAAAACTTCAGAAAACAAAGCGTCGAACAACTTCAACAGATCCGCCTTTTGGTTAAGTTTTCAATCTGAATAAGTAAAAGCTTAAAAGTGCGCACATTACTGATTTTTACCTTGTGGATTTGCAAGCTCTTTATGAGTTCGGTGAAAATTCAAAAATGTTCACCGTGTTCGGTGCTGCCTTTTCTGTATTATGTGGCGCCTGAAATTTGACTCTCATAATAAATTTCTTATACAACGTTTTAGTAGTAAAAGTTCTAGTGTAACTAGTTAAATGAAAGTTTTGAAAAGCATCAAAATCTTTCAAGTGCTCGGTACAGAGAGTCCTAAATAAATCAATTAATTTTAAATAATTTCCAAAAACTACGCTGTCTTTTGGGAAAAATTCTCTACGCAAAAAAGTTGATAGAAATATTTTGTCACCTTCAAACTTTAACAACGTGCATTTTTCAAACTTTTAAAATTTATTATAAAATTTCTCGTGATGCTTGACTTTCATTTAAAAATTTGAACTTTTAAGACATCATTTGTCTGATAAGATTATGTATAAATAAACGAAAATTTTCTAGGCCCAATATAAATATATTCTTAAATACAACAATGTCTATGTTATATATATTTATCAAGTATTCATAATTTTGTATACGTGATTTTTCATTAATTAATAAACAAATTTTATGAGCTAGGGCGATAAATTATAAATAAGTGAACACGAAGCAGTTGATTTTTATTTTTCTTTATTCCTCACATACACACATACATATATTATAACAATAACAGTGATTAAGTATACATACATACACATGTATATGATGTATTATAAGTACGTACTTTTATCTATTTAATTTTTTTTTGTTCCATTTCATTATAGGTATATGATAAATTTACTCCTTTTATTGCATAGAGTATGCGGACTTATTAATGTATAGCGGGAGCTATGAAATGTTTGACGCGAATTTCGTTAGAAGGAAACTTATGCATACAAGGACACAGTGCAAACAGTATATGTAGTATGGTGTGGAAGTCCATTTGTGCAGTGGAAAATAATAGTGAAAGCTTGTTTTATGATATAGTGAAAGCTTATGATATGAACCAGTGAACGTTTCATGGAATGTACATAAATATGTGGAGGAGAGCGTGCTTGGAATGATAGTAGTCGAGTGCGTAAAATAATGAATTAAAGTGCAAGTTTATTCGAGTGTTTTGAGCGATAATGAAAGCTCCTTGAAAAGATGAAAGTTTGAGTGAAAGTTCTTTGTGTGGTATTCTTGTGAAAAATATGTACACATATAATATTGATAGTACAGAGTAGTGTTGTGAAAGCTAACGCAAGCAAAAGAGCCCACAAAGCACCTGAAAGAAGGCGACTGAAAAAAAAAAACGAAATACATTAATGTTTAAAAGCGATGCGTAGTCGGAAAATTGGTGATTTTGTGCAATTCCTTACGCGAGCTTTCGCAGCAACTTTTATCTAACTAAGTACATACATATGTATGTACGTGCAATTCTTGAATTGGCTAAACAAAAAATGGCAAATGAACAATGAAATGAAAGTGTTGTAACAGAAACAGTGTAGAACTGGGCGGGTTGGACCGCAGTTGTGTACTGGCGTTTTAATGCCTAAAAAAATATGGGTTATAGAAACTGCTTATACCATCGTAATTCGTCTCGAGCGGTGAGAGAGTGAAGTCAAGGCGCAATGCTTCGCTGTTCTCGTTGGTCACATGCACCTGTTTCGGCTCACTGGGCTGATAGCTGCGCATTGACAAGGTGACAGAGCGCAAGCAAAGTGGAAAAAATGGAAGTAGAAAGAAAAAACAAAATAAAAGTGATTTAAATATGTTGCTTATAAAGTTATCAAGTTTTTACGTAAATTTGCATTCACTAGTTTTCGCACACAAACACACACACACACACGCTTGCAAGTAGTACATTCGATCGCTTTTGCAAGCTTTCATGCCTGCACAAACACGCCCATTGCGACATTCATAAATTTCCCACTCATTCCTCTCCCACTCTTCCTTTCCTTTCAGTCTACCACTCTTTTCTGCAACTACTCACCCAAATGCCAACGCCTGCACATTGTAAATGCCGGGCGTAAGTAGACGCCAGTATTCGCCGCGCTGTGTGGTACGCATTGGCTTATCCTCCAGACCGGAGACCACAATGCTTGCATCATTGATTGGATAACCGCTGGCGTCCGTTATGAGGCCTTTGATGCCGATATGGGCCAGTTGCAGCAGCTGCAACAGACTGCGCTTATTGCGTGCCCATTCGGTGGGCAGCGAGGCTGCTGTTGGGAATTTGCAACACGACAACTCGATGGTCAACTCGAAGCAGTTGGTGAAGGCGTAATTGAAATCTTGCATGCCGCCGTTTAGCTCGTACCAATTAGCGCCGTTCGTTATGCCATCGGTGAATGTGTCGTTGCAGTTGTGACCCTTGCGCATGATCGGATGATTGTTGGCATATGTGTGGGCCATTAGCTTGAAGATGCGATCGTCGGGTGTGAGACTCTCTTCGCAGCATTCGCGATGGGCGCTGGTGATGGCGAAGATTGTTTGTTTGTTGAGTTTTGTGTGAATTGAAGAGTTTTTGGAAGAGCGAATACATAGTGATAAGAAATTAATTGTGACGGGTGGTACACGTAAGAGGCAATCGTTTTTAACTCGAACGTTTTTTTTTTTATTCTAGCCACCGCAGTTGTGGATTTTTTTATGGGCAGTTTATAGTATTTTTGACTTTTCGATAGTTGCTCTTTTTTTAATAAAATTTATAAGCTTTTAAAATTTTATTATTTGCAAAACTTTCTAAATATCAAACAGTTTTAAAATTTCCAAATACCAAAAAATCTTTTTTTTTTTAATTTTTTATTTATATTAAGTTTTTTTTAAACTTTTTTATTCGATAATAGATAAAACTTATTAGTCAAAAGTTTTTTACAATTAAATTTTTTCTTTATGTTGCAATTTTCAATCTTTATGTATTATGTACCTCGATAAGAAAAAAAAAACACTCGGGGGATTTTTAAGAAAAATTCGATAGTACTTTTTAAGAATGTTGACAGCTAAGTAGAAATCTCGAAAATTTATAGGATTTCGACGGTTTTCCAGTTTAAGGGTATACATATGTATGTATGTACATATGTACAGTGACCCAAACAAATTATCACGTGTTGTTGTTTTTCACAGTTTTAACTTTATATAAAATTTAGGAAAATTCAACAAATTTTCAACTTTTTATTCCGAATTTTTAGAAAATTTTTGGGTGTGCAGTTTTATAGCCCATCAAATTTTAGTCTAATTAAGTGCACGTTTCAAACGGCTAAAAATCGCGTTGATTTTTGAGAATTATTTTTCGGAGGCTACTTTTTCGGGTTTTTTAATATAACAAGCGCAATATTTAAAAGTTGCGTTGATATTTTTATTTCATAAGAAATTCATGCTTATATGAAAAAGAGTAAAAATCCGTCACCAAAAACAACAAATTCTCAAAAATCAACGCGATTTTTTAGCCGTTTGAAACTTGCACTTGAGTAGACTAAAATTCTAAAAATTCAGAATAAAAAGTTGATATTTTTATGAAAATTTGTTGGATTTTCTGAATTTTTTTATAAAGTTTGAATTTTTACATGGTTTTGGTTAAAGCATAGACGATATTTTTATATAAAAATAACAAAAAAAAATTAACTCGAAAAACACTACGAATATTTGAACAAAATCAACACGTGGTCATTTGTTTGAGTCACTGTATATACAACTAATATCTAGATCTCTTGCCAATTTTATTCGAGTTAAAAAAGCATGAGTTTTGAGTGCAAGGCAGTCAGTATTTGGCAGGGACGGCACACGTGCGCTGAAGTATTTTACGTTTTTCGGATGGCTGCTCTATTAAATAGCAGAAATATGATTTAATCGATTATTAGAATGAAAAAATAGATTTTGAATAAATCGAATTAAAATGTAGTATCGATTTTTCAAATGAAAAAAGGTTTTGTGATTTCGTTTAATCAAATACAAAATCTGTTATCGATTAATCGAATGAAAAATCGCTTTTCGATTAATCGAATGAAAATGTAGTTTGGTCGTTTTAGCACCTTTAACACACAACCGCGCCTGCGAACCCTCTCACCTCACCACTGCCACACACCCACCCAACTACTAGCCGACGACTCCCTTTCCTTCTTCTCACTTACATTGAATTATCATACGGATAACTGGCCACAATAGCACCGCCATGGAAATTCGCCGATAAGACAAACGGTTTGCTCAACACCCAGTTTATGATGGCCGCTGTCTCCGGTTGACGTGTGTGCGAACGCAATTGAATGGTCTGTTGATTTTCCAGCCGATCAGGAAAATCACGATTTAAATCGACGCCAGCAGCATTGGTGCGTCCAACATAATTCGGAAGTGATTCACAGTTACCTTCCTGAAAATATAAATAGCGCACACGAAAAAAACGAATATGCACCAGAAAGCAATGATAGAAAATATTGATTTACGTTTATCAGATATTACAAAAAAAAAAACATATCGAAAAAACATGGCTGCAAAAATAGCAAGGTGTAAAAATAGAAAAAGTGCGAAATTGATAAGGCCAAATTTCAAAATGGACGCGCAGTTCATTAGTTCATTTATACTTGTTTGTGCCTCTTACGTTCGTAAATATGTAGGTTGTTAATGCGGCAGTTATTGCGTCAATGCAGGCGTCTAGCTTTGACACCTACATACATATGTATGTATGTACATAAATACATAGTACAACTGTTGCACCACGGGTGCTGATAGCTATTCTAATACTTATGTAGTTGCCATAAGGCAACATATCTATATTAAGGTAACGATATGTACCTAAACGCAAACATAACTTTCACACATGCAGCCGGCGTATATTTCAATATATATATATATATGTACATACATACATACATATGTACATATGCATTTATGCAGCCATGTGATGGCATATCGTAAAATGTCAGCAACATTCGACGGCAACCGCTCAAAGTGGAGCAATAAATATTTTGCAAAAAAAAGTAAAATCTATTTTTGTTTGGTAATACCAAATGTGGTTTGTAGTTGAGTAGTTTGTAAGAAACCTAATGGTGTTGTGGTGACGCTGCACCTGTACTTGACCTTTCTAAGTATCTAATTAGCATTCAAAGCAGTTAGCAATTGTTTGGTTAGTTGGGGGTTTTCAATACTTATTGGTATTCAACGCAATAAACCGCGAAATGCAAACAAATGCAATAAAAAAACTTTAGTAATATGAGTACTAGATAGTGGTGGTGGAGAATAAATTAATAACAGCTTATATAGTAAAAAATTGAAAAACATATTCAGCCAATTAAAAAAATAAAAAATAAAGAAATAAAACCAAAAAATTCGAATAAAATATGTATTTCAGTTACAAAGAAAAATAAAAAAGTAAAACATTAAATATAAGAAATAAAAAAATTTAAGGGCAAAGGTATAGAAATTAAAAAATATAAAATTTAAAATCATTTTTTTTTTTTAAGTTTAAAAAAATAAATCTAAGAAATTAAAATAAACCAGAAAATTAATAACAAATTAAACTAAATATAAAATTAAATAAAACAAAAACTAAATCAAATAAAAAATCATGTAAAATTAAACAAAAATTAAATGCAATAGAAAAATAAAATAAAATAATAAAGTACAAAAATAAAAATATTTGATAAAAAATAAAACAAAAATTAAATGAATTAAACGACTGAAATATAAACCAATATTTAATATTAGACAAATATAAATATGCTTGCCTTAATATATAAAGTCAATATGTAACATTTTCGTTTCAGCGATTCGAACCGCTTAGAGAAAAAACTTGTACCAGTACACAAGAATAGGCTCATGAGTACCGCAATACTACGTCCAAATTGGCCCCATTTACCTTACTTGTTAAATAAGAAAGAGCTTTGCGTAAAGTTTCTGCATATTGTACCAAACCTCTATCTATATCCCTAAGTTAATCGATGCGCTGAACCCGAATTTGAGGTCAATAATGTCAGGTTCGAGGCCATTTCAAGGGTGGTCCCATACTAATTTGGTTTAGTTCCGAACATTGCGTCATGAAGAAATTAAACGTCTTCTAAAATTTTATATGAGCATTGAGGTCGGTTGTATTTTTTGCTTAAAAATTACTTGTATTTTTGAAAACAGAATTTAATGGATGGCTTGCGCTACTTAGTAGCACAACAAATAACTATAATATACACTTTCATATGTACTAAGTACATAAATAAATACATATGTATGTACATACAGTATCGGTCATATCTATAGCACGCCATTTCAAAGTGATATTGTGTGCAACTTATGTTTATTTATTTATTTTTGAGAATTTTCAATTAAAATACAGTTCTTTCTCTAACAAACCCCATATAAACCCAAGTTTAACAATTTGTAGAAAACTTCGAAAAAGGGCAACAAATTTTCACCTAAATTTCAAACTTTTTTCTCGGAAGTGTTTGAATTTTTCTGAATACACAGTTTTATGTACATACGTATATAATCAGCAGTTTAGAAAAATGCGAAACCGTTGAAAGTCGTTCGACAAATGTCGTCACATACGCAGTTATTTCGCCATTTTTATACGCCATGCATTCGAAAAAGGCAGACATTATTTAATAAGAAAAATGCGTGCGTTGTTTTTAGCTATAAAAAGCTAAAAACACAAGTGGTACTTAAATAGAAGATAGAGCCAAGTGCATGCTTTTTACACCACAAACACGTGCGTGATATATGTACATACGTTTGTACGTACATACACATGTATTTATGCCCAAATGTACGCATTTATGTAAACATACATTTTTTAAAAGAGGCATTTATTTTTGTTACGAACAATTAAATACAGTTAATGGCGGCAGGCGTCAACTGTTGTCAGAATGTGCGAATTAAAATTGAACTAACATTATTTTAAGCGATTTTGAATTTAATATGCATACATACATATGTAATTACAGCAGCGATTGTTACTGCGTTTATTTTTTTTATTTTTTTATTGAGGTTTTTGCTTATACATATGTATGTAGTTGCTTATTAAACTACTATTTTATAACTTTTGATATTTCAATTTATCCTTTTTTATATTTAAATGTTTCCTTTTTTTCAAACAAAGAAAGTAGAAGTACCCGTATTGAGCATTTTTTTAAAAAGTAATTTGTTTTGTTTTTTATCGAATTTTATTTCCAAATTAATTTCAGTTTTTGGTACTTAAATTTTTTTATTACTTTATCATTTTTTTTCTTGAGCCATCTTTGAAAGTTTAATGTTATGGTATTTGCAGCTTTATATAACCGGCTCCAAATACAATAATTGTATTTGTTTTATTTTATGATTTTAGATGATTTTATGTCAGCCTTGAAATCCAACGGAGAATCACTCTTGCCAACAAGTGCTACTTTGGGCTGAGTAGGCAATTGAGAAGTAAAGTCCTCTCTCGTCGTACAAAGATCACACTCTATAAGTCAGTCATCATGCCTGTGCTAATGTATGGCGCGGAGGCATGGACAATGAAAGATGAAAGCATCTGATGAGGCGGCTCTTGGAGTTTTCGAGAGAAAGATTCTGCGAAAGATTTACGGACCTTTACGCGTTGGTGATGGCGAATATCGCAGACGATTTAACGATGACCTGTATGAGCTATACAACGATATAGACATAGTGCAGCGAATTAAAATTCAGCGGCTCCGCTGGCTTGGCCATGTCGTTCGGATGGACAGAAACGCTCCTGCTCTGAAAATATTCAACGCGGGCCGCGATGCTGGTAACAGAGGAAGAGGAAGGCCTCCTCTGCGTTGGAAAGACCAGGTGGAGAAGGACTTGGCTTCACTTGGCATTTTCAATTGGCGTCAGTTAGCACAGAAGAGAAATGACTGGCGTGCTGTTTTGGACTCGGCCAAAATCGCTTAGGCGGTTACAGCGCCAATCAAGAAGAAGAAGAAGAATGATTTTATTAAAATATATTTTATTTTTTTATAAGCTTTTATTAATTTTCACCTGTGTGTAATCAAATCTGGCAATCAATTTTAAACCACCTTCCCGATGAGTTAGAGACTTTTAATTTCTAACTTGTCCTATGATAATGTAATATGAAAGATGAATTAATACGCTAGGTGGCGTAGGCGTTGAAATGTTTGTAAAACCCGTATTTAGGGTCCGATTTGTTTCATATTTAGAACGTATTTTATTTAAATAAAAAGAAATAACTTCATAAAAAATGTAAATTTTTCATTTTTTTTTTATAACCACTAATAAAGGCTGGTCTTAATTTTTTTTATATTACTTGTTATTTTTTTATGTATGTCGCTTTTTTGTTCAGCGTATACCAGTTCAAAGTTTTTTTATACTCTGTTTTGCTTAAATTTATTTTAATGTTGTACATTTTCAACTTAGTTTAATTTGAATTTTCATTATTTTATTTTACTTTACTTCAGTTTATTTTTTTATTTAATTTTTATTTTATTTTTTTTATACATTTTTCACTTCCTTTTTTTCATTTCACTTACATTTCTTTGATTTGGTTAATTTAATTTAATATATATTTTTTTGTTTTTATTTCGATATTTTATGCTTTATTTATTAACCGACTTCAAAAATGAGGTTATCAATTCGTAGGAATATATATTTTGTTTTTTATGTACCGCATAACTTTGGACCGCGCTAACCGATTTCTATAATTATTTTTTTAAAGGAAAGGTGTTACCTCACAGGTGTTCCCATACTAATTTGGGTGAATCATGAGGAAATTAACGATAATCTTAAAATTTTATATGAGAACTGAAGTCGGTCTTATTTTTTGCCTAAAAATTACTTGTTTTCTTTATTTTTGTTTTAAATTTTATTTAAACTTTTTTATTATATTTATTAATTTTTGTTTATTTTATCAGACTTTCTTCTAAATATTTAGTATTATTCTATTTATTTTCAATCTATGTACATATGTTACCAGGGAAATAACTCATCTCGCTTTCATTTTACTAAATAAAGATACATACATATGTATATATGTACATATCGCACACTATCTTAAAGAGTGACACAATTCAAAATTTGTTATTTCATTTTTGAAATTATGCGCTGCAAATGCACTTTACCTTTCAGCAACACCTTTGGAGATCGTCTGCGACATGTACATACATATCGTCGATGTTTTTGCAAAACCGCCCATCGACCAGTTGCTTAACCAGTTTGTTAAAGTCATCTACAGCAAACTCAAAGCAAAAAAATAAACATTAAAATCCCCAAATATGCTAGACGTAACGCCAATGAACAAAATAAGTAGATACGTGACACATAGTAAACATATCAACAATGACAATTCGTCTCACAAAGCTAAAACGTTGTCGCTTTAGTTGGCGGTAAAATGCGCCCAAACGCGAGCTGTGCATTTAAAACAGTAAG